ATTCTGAAGCCCACGTCTTAAGAGAAGTTACCACTTCTGTGTATGGTCTTGAGAAAAGGGAGCCGACTGGTCAGGGGGTTGATGTTATGGAGAGTGAGTTTATAAAAGAAAGAGAGGCCTAGAAAGAAAACCTTCAGGAAGAAGGAAAAACCTAACTTCGGCAGGGGAGGGGGTAATTTTTTATAAGAAAGTCTAAAGAAAGGAGGGGTAAAAAATAGGGAAGGAGAAATAAAAGGATATGGGAGAGGGAAAAGGAGAGAGCGAAGAGAAAAAAGAGTAAACAACTTAAAAATTTCCTAAAAAGGAAATTTCCAAGCGCAGAAGGGGAAGTGGGAAAGAGTTTTTTTTTTTTGTGATATAACATATATATAACTTTATTAATTATATTATATATAATAATTATTATAAAAAAATAACAAATTTTTTTTAAAGAATTTTATAAATAAATAAATATTATTAAAAATTTTATAAATATATTTTTAAAGTATAATAATAAAAAATATTTGTTTATTTATTAATAATCTTAATATAATAATATTTGTTTTTTATTTAAAATTTAAATTAAAAAATATATTATAAAGTTTTTATAAAAATTATTTATTAATAATTTTATTGAATTAATTAATAAAATAATTTTGTAAAAAAATATTTGTGATATTTAAAAATATATAAAAAAATTTTTTTTTATTTTCCAACCAGTTTTTATATAAAAATTTGTAATTAAATTGAAAAAAAATTTTTTTAAAAATAATAATAATAAATTAATTAAAGTATTTTATAACAAACTTGTTTCTAAGATATTAAAGAATATATGTATAAAATTTTATATAATTTAAATCAATAATTATAAAATTATGATCAAACCTATAATTGTTATTTCTTGTAAAAACTACTATATATATAAATTTAAAATTAAATTACAAGTAATTATAAGTAATAATTGCAATATAAAATTAGTAATATTTGAAAATATTTGAAAAAATATAATTTTGCTTTTATATATTTCAAGTAATATTATAATAACTTTGAAATAACAAATATAAAATTGTATAATTTTACAAAGTTTATAAAAAAAATCAATTTTTTAAAATCCAAAATTATATTTAAAAAAGCATATATAAATTTAAATATAGATTAAGCTTATATAAAGTATTTAAAATTTTAAAATTATTTTAAAATTTCTTAAGATTGTTTTTGAAAATAGTTTATTATGTTTTATTAGTATTTATCAATTTATAATAACAATAATAATTAAAATTTGACTTTTAAAAAATATTATTTTTAAATAAATACAAGTATATAATATAATACAAATTTTTTAGTTTATTGTTATTGTAATAAATTTTTATTATATTTATAAATCATTGACAGTGGCTTATAATAATTTAAATAGCTTTATTATATTTTACTTTTAATTTTTTGGATGTTCTATTGGAGCAAAAATAATAGAGATTATGGATTTTGATTTAATAATATTTAAACATAAAAGTAATAAAAATAAAACCATATAGTACTCATAGATACTAACTTGAAACATATAAATATTATTCAATAGAAATGTCATATGGTATCAAGCTTCTGTAATAAAACATTTCAAGGTTTGTGGATCAAACCAAATATTCATAATATTTGTAAAAAAGCAATATTATTATACTTACTTAACATTGAATGAAAACTGCAAGCCATTTGGTTTTTATACAGATCTTTATTAGAAACAGATTAAAAAAGAACATGAAAATGTAATATAGATGAGAAAATAAAAAAAAATAATGTTTCAATTAATATAATTAGTAAAGAAGATTATAAACATAATTTCAGTAGTTCTAGTAATAAAGGTATACTGTATCTTTATCTGAACCTTCTTCTGCATTTTTCAAATTATTGGTTTTGTAATAATATAAAAATCTCTTAAAACAAGATGATCCTGCATTAAGTAACTGTGTTCATAAGTTTGATAAGTCATATAAGCAGTATCAACTTTTACAAGATATTCACATTCATTCAGTAGTAACTTCTTTTCTTTAAACTTGTGATGAGGATACAGGCCAGGTTAATGGTAATAATCATTGGTATAGTGGAAAGAGAATATGGGTTCAAGTTACTGCTGCCTCACAATGTAGAAAAGCTTTAAGCTGTGGGCTCAAGGACGACCTAAAAAAAAATTACATAAATCTATTATACTGGCATGAAATAGACAAAAAAATGCCCACATAATTTAATATAACTCTATTAGAATTGAAACCTAATGATATAATGTAACATCTTTTTTTTTTAAAAAAATAAAATTATATTAAATATCAAAACGAAATGCATGTTCATAAGATGCGTAAGAACTAAGCTAATTAATCTTTATCTTATAAGCTACCAATATAAAAACGTGCGTTGTCTCAGTGAACTGACCCTAAGATATAGAGTAACCCATCGTGTCTTTTTAAAACGCGAAACCCACGTAATTTCAAGCATGTAACTATAATCTATAACCGCAAAATCTTAACCGTACTGGCTTCTTTATTACCTAATAATATGATACAAATCTATCAAAATGTTCATAAATACTCACGATTTTTTACTGCTTGCCGGCTTCATTGTTGATTCAAATGATATTTCTGTATATCATAACCATCAAAACAGAAGGGTGAAATAGATAAATAGATACTGAACCGGAAAGCGAAGAAGAGGGAGAAAATAGTGATATCGTTGGACCCAGAGAGACGAGAGAATAGGGGTCCACATTGGGGCAGTCCTGCAGTCGTGATAGGTCCAACTTTTTATATTAGCAAGACCTCTTAGTTTTATACAGCATATTTCGGCGCAGGCCTATCCGTGCAATAAATTTTACCCCATTATTAATTGGGCTCGTGATTTTTTAACAATCCGATCAATGGATAAATTCCGTTTGTTATTGTTGCCTTGCCTCGTGGGAAAAAATTATTATATAAATACTCAGCAGTATCTCCCTTAACTCGCAATTGACTTCTCCAAAATCAAAATGGCAACGTACACAAACTCCGATGGCTATTCCTTTGTTCGAACTTTTTTAGCAATATCAGTAAAGCAAGCGCTACCAAAATACGTGTAATTAGTATTTCTCTAATATTTTAGTTGATTTCCAGAGCTATTCTTTAGCGAGACAGTTGATGTTCGAAAAAGAATGCCAGAGTATCATTATTATCGAACCCTGTGGTGGGAAAAAGGCGACTTCAATCCAAAAGCAAAATGGGAAGAAACGACGTGAGTCCCTTTCCTATCTTGTCTTGTGTTGATTTGCTATTTTTATGATCTAGTGATATACAGTATAAGCTAATTTTTGCTATTCGTATCAAGACTTCCTTACACACATGCTGTTGGTGGGAATGTGAATGGCGTTCGAATGAGTTTAATGTTCGTGGCTGTTGGGAATGGATCGACTATAAAGTCATTTATGAACTTCCATCGAAGCCACATGAAACTTGTATTTGAGCAATTTCTAAGCTTCTTAATCGGTGTTGGAGTCTTGTTGACTTTACTGATGCCAGTATCTTAGGTCTTGGTGCAATTCGTAAATATCAATTCAGTAACTGTCTCAGCCTATGTTTGCGATATCAAATATATATTTGTTTTTCTTAAGGAACTCGTGCCGATAATTCTGAGAGGAAGTGGATGTATGTTTTCGTCCTGAAAAACTACGAGTGCGACTAACGAATGGGAGTGATGGACAGGTACATTCTTTTATTGGCTCTGAATTCTTCAGAATAAGATTTCATACTTTCGATTTCAGGATGAGACTTGGTCGAATCTCGTTGTCGAAGTAGCCTATTCTGAGAAAGAAGAACATGTCTTGAACAAGGCTAAAGATTATTGGTTAGGCAATCTTAGTCGCGTCCATGACGCGATCGTTATTAAGATTGATGAAGTTCCTCTAGGTCAAGCTCCTTTACGGATGCAAGTAAGTTATATTCCTAAAGTTGCACAAGACATCCCATTGTTTGTTTGTTTGTCATTTTAAAGAACTTAACCCACCAGGCATGGCATTTTTGTGTCACGAACAGACCCAGAAGAACAGCAGATATCCAGCCCCGGACTTATGTAATGTCATAAACAAAGAATAATCATCTTTAACATTATGTTTAATTGTTAGTTTGAATTCGGTACCCACGACCAATATAGAAATCCAACAAATATTCAACAAGGTCAATGTATTATCAACATTTCTCTGGATTGTTTGTATCATGATACGTTTCCTGGAACCACAATTCCCCGACAACTTCTCCCTGATCCAATTGTACTTGATTTCTTGCTAATTCGAAATGAATTCTTCCGTGCATATCGAATCAGATAATAGAAGGGAATACCATGCATTGTACAAGAGCGTAAAAAAGTTATTCAGGGTCATCGTTGGTTTGTTAAGATAAGGCATGTATACAAAATTGCCAGTCAACAAGAGAGGAGTAAATGATGTGATAATCACGGCCGTGTTTGACTTGCAATTTATTCTTGATTAATGAACAATGATTTTTTACGCGCGATAATGAGGGTAATATGATTTTATTTGGGGTCGTCGTCCGAGCTCTACTCTGTAAATATATAAATCACGATCGTGACTATTTTTTTTGGCAAAAGTGATCAGCGTTATGTCAATAATTTAAATAAATCTGCACCTTATATAAAAGTTGTTAACAAAAAATGTCATCAGAGCTTGAATCTCAATCTGCTCAAACGAAAATCGATTCGTTGCAAGAATTAAATTCTCAACTCATTGCCACGATTGCTGAGCACAAGACCAGCTAGAAAAGAAAAATAAAACGGACACCAATAATCTCATTGCTGAAATGCCGAGCTCAGAGACAGAGTCACGAAATTGGAACAGAAGCAGACACAAAGTGATAACGTACACGTATTAGAAGATTCTATTCTCCACGAAGCATAATTTAATATTTCTTCCAATATTCATGCACACTCGTCCGAGCCTAAATCGTCAGAAAATAAAGAGATCAATGAATTTCTGGATTTGAAAAATAAGGAAAGAATTAGTAGCGAGATAAAGCAACGCAATAGGGAGAAGAAGCTTCAACGTGAATCAGCTGAAGACCGATCCCAAAATTTAGTTTCAGATACTTCTATCTCTTCCGAGCAAAATCATGTAAGCGGAAAAGAAAAATGCCAAGAAATTTCCGTCACGAGCTTACGTGACGATCGGCAAAATAAAACCATGGAACCAGATGAACTTGAACTCACTAAAAGTCAGTATATAGAACAAGGATTAATAAAAGAATTACTCAGTGACATCCCTACCATATCGTTAGTTATAATCCCAGAATATCGACCATTTCAAATCACAACACAAAGCTTAGTCTCTCTATTTCATTATGCGTTACGATCTAGACATGAGGAAATCACAGCATGGTATAATTACTCAGATAATTTTGAAAATAGAGTTATTGAAATTTGTCGGAATTTAGGAGTTACAGATAAAAAGGCTAGAATACAATTATACAAGGAAATGTTAGAGCATTTACCTGATATTACATCAGGAAACTTGCGTATGAAAACTCTAAGAGCCAAAAAAATTCGTATGCTATTTGGGAAAAACGGAGTTGGAATAGATAAAATTAAACAAGTTACCTATAGTATATTTGCTATCTTTAGTCTTAATAATAGCCAAATTCAAAATATCATCAAGAGTGTAACTTTAGCAGAACCTTTATTGAAAACCGACAATAAACATGATGATCAGGCCAATACAGAGGTGAATGCTTCATCTAATGCACGAAGTGCACTTTCTCCGAAAGGTAATATATTGCCAGAAAATAAGATTCCATCTATAAATCACGCAAGTGTATCATCTACAGTAATTCAGCTCACGATCGTGATTATTTCGTAATAAAGTATTAGATCAATATCCTGATATACAGTATATAAAGAGTTTAGTAGTGAAAAATCAAATTATTATGGAATTATTGATAAGTCATCATGTCCAGCATGCGTCGAGACATAAGGATGAGAAGAGTATAAGAGATAGATGTGAAGCTGGGTCCTATTTTATTAAATGTGGGGAGTATGAAATCGAGGTCACGGCATAAGTCCTGCTATCTCTACTAAATCAATTACCAATTTTGCCGATTTTGCTGATTTAATGTGACTAAAGCCGAAATTAACGGTATCGAAAAAGCTGAAATATGAGCACCTCAATCCGAGCAGAGTTTTAGTTGCTATTTACGGCCGCAGAAAGGGTGTTCTTTATGCATCACTTATGCGGCAGAAGCGCTTACAATGACTTTCAATCAAAAATCAAAAATCGGAAAAAAATCAAGCAAATAAAATTACAATTAAAAGGAAATAAAATTCATGTTCGTGCTTTATACCTAAGATTTATGATAAATTATTTTTTATCTACTTTTCTTCGTTTTTGTTTTGTGAGGTGACGTGCTATACGTGTCAATAAAAAAACAAATGATTGTAAGCTAAGTACATACATAATCGCGTTAATATTATCCTTAAATATTACAGATGTAATCAAATATAATATCATAGTTTGTAGTTTAATAAGTTCATGTCAAAGAAACTAAGAGTAAATTTGAAAGCTGAGAAATATTAATACGACATTGATGGTATGCTTACTGCTTTAAGTTGGCTACGATCTAAAAAAACGATCGGTTCCGTTTCTACTTTGATATTTTAGATTTTAAGGATGGTAGGGAAGTTTATGTCAAGGTAAATATTCAATAAATACTTTTCTAACTTTTTTATTTTGGGGAACATGGTAAATAGGTGAATTGATCGCATTGGATCCAACTTTGAAATAGCTCAATTTAAATAATGCTCTGACATTATTTTATTTCCCGCCAACCATTGATCCTTACACCAAGGCTGGACAGAGTTTAGCGCTTTAGTAATATAGATAGATAAATAGTTACATTTTATATAACATAATAGAATATTATCTAAATTATATCGCTAGTAAACGATAAAAAAAATATCCGGTCGGTCATTTCTAGCATATACTGTATTAAACTATAGTAGTACATTTTAACGGTATATTGAATGAACGCGTAGTTACTTGAAATTATTGTATGATAAGTGCCGCACGAGCCCCCTCTGCGGCCGAAAATAGCAACTAAAACTCTGTTGTTGACCTGTAATTTGATATTGTTCCTGTTAATGACTGATTGGTCAGAACCAAAGTGATGCCGACAAATTCGCTAATAAGGGGTAAAATTAAAGGGTATAGAATGATTAGTTGGAGCGGAAATTTGATCGATTCATGCAAATTTAGAACATAACTATTAGAAATACATCATTTGAAAAGGTATTCAGTTGAGGGATAGTTGAAGGATGAGTAATCAGATGTAAATTTTTATATAAATTTAAGGGATGTCATAGCTAAATTGAATATTGTCCAGATCTAGGGATTCCAAGAATCGACTATTATCCGTTATATATGGGGATGGCACAGAATCGCTGAGTTGATTATTATTCGTTAGATTTGAAGATTGTAAGAAGGTTTGATTTGCAAAATCATCCGAATCGTTAAAAGTAATATTTTTCAAACGTTCAATAACTGATTTTATCGAAGGACGATCATCAGGATCACCACTCCAACATTCATTATACAGTCGAGTATAAGCAACCGGCGTGCCTGGTACTTCGTTTTCTCTTAATCCATCAATGATTTTATGAATAAGCGATATATATGATATTCCTTCAAAAGGTGAATGACAACTTGAAATTACCCAAAGAATTACCCCTAAACTATAAATGTCGGATCTTTTGTCACGTATATAAATTGTGTTTTGAAAACATAGAGGCTCGATAAACGCAATAAGTCCCACTAGTTCCGAATTTGAAGTTTCTAATGGCTCATTTAAGCTATTATCTATGTTGATCAATGAATCAATGCCCAGTTTTGATAAGCCAAAATCTGTAATCAATATTTTTTCTTCATGCACTAGAATGTTATTAGGGTGCTATAAAGAGAATGTAAATAAGAAATTAAACGTATTTAAAAAATATCATTAAATAAATATAATAACTTACAAGGTCACGATGAACGATATCATTATTATGTAGAAACATAAGACCCTTTGATATTTCAATGGCAATACGTATTTTGTCTTTCCACATTAATTTATGCCAAAAATTTTGTAGATAATTTCGTAATGTCCCTCCATCTGCAAATTTTAGGACTAATACATAATAATTATCATAAATACCTATTTTATAATTAGAAGAGTCAATTAAATTAATAATACTATAAAAAACTGAGAATATGATATTTTAAACATCCATACTTTTAGAAATTCCATAAAAGTCGACGATATTCGGGTGATGACTAACCTTTCGAAGTAGTTCAATCTGTAAAATTTTAAAAACGATGGTTACATTTATCATATTTGGACAAAGCATGTACCAAATTTAAAAATTTAACCTCTTTAATCAGCTCTTCATTCTCTTCTGAAGAATGAATTCTTTTTAGAGCAACCGTCATGTCGCAATCTCTCCATACAGCTTTATATACATTAGCAAATCCACCTTGCCCAATACGTTCAATGTCCGTGAAAGCGTTATATGGAAAAGTATTAATGTGCAACTCAGATATAGCTTTTTGAAACCATTTATCATCATATGTAGTTCTTTCGCTATGATACACTTCTTCAGAAATAGGTCGATTCAAGTCATCGATTATATCATCAATTTTAGGGCGCTTTGCAGGATCCTTGTCCCAACAACTGTTATAAAGTGCAACATATTGTAATGGCGTACCATTTATGGGAGTTTCTCTATTTCCATTTGATATCTGGACACTGATTGCTTCTCTGGATTTAAATGAGGCAAACGGAGGTTTACCACTGGAAATTTCCCATAGAATAAAGCCAAAGCTATAAATATCAGATTTTTTGTTACGCCTGTAATTCGGATTTTCGAAACATATGGGATCGATGTACGCAGGCGTTCCATGCAATTGTGAATTCGAAGTCATTGATAAGTCAGAATCCTCCTTAGATAAACCAAAATCTGTAATCAGCATTGTTCCTTTATGCACCAAAACATTTTTAGAATGCTATTAACACATAAAAGAATATGTTATTTAAAATTCATTCGTAAAAATGATAAATTGAATACAAATATGCCTACAAGGTCCCTGTGTGCAATGTTATTATCATGTAAGAACTTAAGCCCTTGCGCTATTTGCCTTCCCATATCCAGCTTATCTGGCCATTGTAAGTCCAAAAAACTTCTTTTCAAATATTCACGTAAAGTTCCATCTTCAGCAAACTGAAAAATCAACTTGTAACCTTCATTAGGATCTAATTATTTAGTAAATGTTATTATTATATAATCCCTATCAATATAACTGTAAAGTCCCTTTTCGAATAATTAGTAGAATAAAAATAATACCCTTTGTTACTCCATAAAATTCAATAATATTTCGATGCTTTTGGACGCCTTTTAAAAGTATCAGCTATCATATAAGGAACTATTAAAAGTCATGATAAATAATTATTTGTAAAGTAATATTAATTAAAGTACCTCTTTAACAAACAGTTGAACGTATTTTTCGACTTTGCGTATATCTTTTTTTAAACCCTTAATTGCAACCGTTAATCCAGTATTCTTTCATGTGGCTTTGAAAACTGTTCCGAATCCGCCTTCTCCGATTTTAATAGAATCTCCGAATTGTTCATAATCGTAAATATCTATTTTGTGTTCATCATTGGTCTTTTCAAACCATTCTATTGAATATTTTGACATGGTTTCGAATTAAGCGTTATCTGTTGAGCTGGTAAAAACCTCAATTACTTTATATAGAATAGATACAGCTGACTCGTTTGGGATAAGCTAAATTTGTAGTAGCGGCTGACCGGAAAAAACTTACCCGAGATTTCAAAATAAGTATGATCGACCGTTGGCGACTTGGTTACAAAATTTTTTTAATAGTAAAAATTTATTGAAATAAACTAAAATGCAATTTACTGCCCATAAGTAAAACTATCGAAAAACTGGTGATTTTCTTAGCCGGAGGTATTATGATGCACTACGCATATTAATGAGTCCACATACTCATTTAATATCTCTATTTGAGGGTTATTAAATTGTTGAAGGCTAATAACGATTGTATTTGAATTTTGAATAATTTATTCGAATAGGAAATTATAATTTATTTATTTTTTTACTTTTTGCACTCCAGTGATTAGAATAAAATAATAGTTGTACAGTACCACTTGACTTACCTTGATAAAACAAGTCGAATAATGTTAAAATTATTTGATTTGAATCACTATTTCAAAAAATTATCAAAAAAACATAAATATCTTCTGTATTAAAATATTTGATTTTGCCTTATAATTTTTTGATTTATAATCTTATTTATATTGAACGTTGAGTTTTAATTAAAAAATCAAAAAAAAAATCTTTTTTTCTTATAATTAAACAAGCATATAACATTAATTGATTTAACTCTCAATGAGATTAAAGTTGTTTGTTTATTAAATTAAGCTAACACTAATTCTAATTATATTATGTAATTATCAAATTATTATCAATTAAATTCAAAATTATTAATAAAAATATATGTTGAAATTTTATTATTTGATTAAAAAATTTGTAAAAATTTAATAATAATAAACAAATTTTTAACTTATTTATATAAAAATTTAATACTGTATAATAACAATTTAATTTAATAATTTAGTAAAATTGTAATAACAATAATTGGGAATCAAAATTTCACACCAAAACCAATTGATTTACAAATTAGTTATGATTTAAATTAAATTCAATTAAAATATATAAAGCAATTAATTAAAAAATTAAAAACTTTTTATGATTTGATTTTTTTCATTTATTTTTTTTATAACATAATATTGTAAATAAAAAAATTTTTAACAATTGTTTTTATGATTTTTTTATTCTAATAATTATTATTTGATTACTTTTTAATAATTTTTTTTTGATAATTTTAATTTTTATATATTAAAAATAAAATTAATAATTTAATCAGTTATAAAAACAGCAATATTAATAATATTATTGCAAATAATTTATTAAAAATGGTATTATTTTTTTACAATAATCAATTAAAACAAAATATAGAATTAATCTTTTTATAAAAGATTTTAATTTTAAAAATATTAAAAAAACCACTTGTAACTATTGTAAAACTACATATATTGTAAAAAATATCATATAGTAAATCTAATATTAAAGATTATTTTAATAAAGCAAAACAATAAAATTTTATTTATATTAAATATTAAATTTGTTGTTTAATTTATTTAATATTTATTTAATATTTAAAACTTTAAAAAAATAGAAAATTTTAATTCAATGAATTATTATTAAGTAGTATAAAAATCAACTTTTAAAAGTTTAATAAGACTTTATTAAAAAATATAAAATTGGTTTCTTCTATTATTATTAAAAATATATAATAAAATTATACTTGATTAATCAAAAAATTTTATAATTTAAACAAAAACAAGTTTTATTTTATATTTATTTATGTATTAAATTTAAAAGATAATAGATATTATAATTAATAATATTACTAATAATTTGGTATTTATTGTTGTAATAAAAGAATGGAATAGAAATTAAATTAAATCATTTATTATTAAAACAAATTATTTTTTAATATTATATATATATTATTAATTTAAATATACAAAAAGCTTTAAAAAAAATTAACAATAAATCAAAACAAGTAATTTATAATATATATATTTATAATATTTATAATATATTTTATTTATTTAATTTAATTATTTTTATATGATTTTGTAAATTTATTATAAATTCAATTATTATTTCAATATTAAAAAAAATTATAAAAAACTTGTGAAATATTCAAAAAAAAAATTTAAAACCTATTTTGAATATAAAAACTTAATGAAATCTTATACATAAAATAGTTATATATGTTATTAAATTAAAAAAAAAGTAACTTGATTTGATTTTTTAAGGTTTATACAAGTTATTTAAAATATTTTATTTTAAACAATTGAATATATTATATTTACATATAAAAAATTAAAAAAAATGTTAATTTGACAAGAATAATTAGAAAATATTTAAACAAATATAACAATTCCTTATATTTTTTTAACAAACTATAACAATAATATTAGCAAAACCATATTCTACTTTTTCAATAACAGTTTTTTAATATAATTTATTGTTTGATTATGTAAAAAATATTGAAAACAATAAAAATTTAATATAATAGTCTAAATAGTATTTAAATATACAATATATATATGGGTAATTATTTTCGAAGGCGGACCGGAAATTTTCTGATGTGGTCCTAAAATTTATACTATATATGTATTGTTTAAAAGTTGAGTCCAAAAAAATTCTATCTAGCATTTTTGTCGCCTTCAAAAATAATTACCCATATAATATAAAAAGTATTTTTAAAAAAACAAATAAAACTTATTTAATAGTTGTACTTTTAAATTTAAGATTTAAAATAGAATATTACAATATAAATAACTGAAATAAAAAAATGATTAATCAAATTTACAAAAGATAGACATGATTTTTTAATTATAATTTATTAATTTATATTTTTTTTATAAAGTAAATATTATTACTTTATTAATTTATAAAAAATATAAGATTTTATATATAAAAAAATTAATAATATATTATATAATTAGTTTATTAATAAGTTTAATATTAGTTTATCTATAATAAACTATTTAAGCAGTAAAAAAAAATAATTATTAAAACTAATATACTGTATATCAAAAATAATATAAAGTAACTACTCAAGTTTATATATAAAACTATAAAAAAAAATATTTAAAAAAATAATTATAATATAAAAAATAATTAGATTATTAAAGACACTAGCATCTAAGTATATTATATTAATAGTTCTATTTATTTAAGTAATATAATACTTATTAAAATAATCAAGCTATTGTTTAAAGTAAATAATAATAATAATAATAAGTTTTCTTGATAGTTAATTAATTTTGATAATTGCTGATATGAGAGTCAAGTAGTGATTATAATAATGAAGTTAATAATGTTTGCTTAATATTTGATTAAAATTAATTATTATTAATTATGCTTGAAAGAAATTTGTAAATTGGATTGAATATATTATAAGAGATATTTAGGTTGTCAAAAGTGTTAATACCTAAGTGTACCATGCTGGTAGCTTTATTTAATTTAATGAGTGATGTAACACTTTTTGGAATGGTCAGGCTACTGTTCAAAGCAAATAATAGTAATAGCAACATATTTTTTTGAAAACAAATTAAACATGTTGATTGTTGTTTAAGGATAATGCTTTGTTGTTGTAGTTTTTGATATAATGTGTTTGTTTTGATTTTTCTAATGGATAAAAGAACATGTAATTGGATGAGAAGGTTATTATATTATAAAAAAATAAATATTAACATTTTTTAAGAAATTAAAAAATTATTTATTTTGAATTATAATAAACAATATCAAAAAACTTTCTTATCATACTGTTATTGTATTAAGATGCACAATGGATAAATTGTATGTCAAAGAAGCACTTTGAATTTGACATGCTATAATTCCAAAAATCACCAATTCTCGAAACTTTCTCATGAATCACGTTTTATTAGATAGAATTGAAACTTTATTAATCTGATTGTCTCACACATGTCGAATTTAGAATATATTAGAGTAATTATAAACTCGTGCGATGATCGGCGCCCTATGGTTTCTTAAATTTGATATTAAAATTGATTAACTATGATTTCGGTTTCCGTTAAATATACCAAAGGCAAGAATCCGAACCACACAAAATGCATATCCTGCAAGTCGAGAACGTGCGAAATTGTGCACCCAATATCATTCAAGAAATTTATAAATGTTAAACGTTGAATCTTCTTTTTAGGAAAAAATTTCAAAATACAATATACACAATTAGGTACATAATATTAGAGAGAAAAGTCTAAACTACAAGTTAGCAAATATGTAGAGTAGAGCACCTAAAAACTTCATATGATGCTCTATCTACTTAAGTAAATCATCGTTATTTGTTGAAACCATAAAACTTATGATTTTCAATTCCAAGAAACTTTAGCGCGTTTTTGCCCAAAAGCCTTTCTTTATCCTCATCGCTTAACCATTCGCATCGCTCGATCATTTCTCCAGGATGATGCTCACCTAGAGGGAATGGATAGTCACTACCCAACATGATTTGTCCTGCACCGATTTTCTTAATGATAATTTGTAAGGCATCTTCGTCGTGAACTAACGAATCAACGTAGATTCTTTTTAGATATTCACTATTTTAAATAGACAAGTCATTAGAAATGATGGTAGACAAAAGCTTAAATTCTTATAAAATTTGGACTTACAGAGGGCTCTTTTTTATTTTGATGGCACATAGATCTGGTCGAACCTCAAAACCGTGTACAATTCGTCCCAGAGTCCCGAAGAATGAACCTCCACCATGAGCAAAAGATATTTTTAATTTTGGATAGCGTTCGAGTACACCTCCGAAAATCACGGAGCAAATTGAAATCGTCGTTTCGCAAGGCTAATGGTATACCCGTAAAGTGGTTATAAAACAATGTTAATAAGCGGTAATGCTGATTCGTAAAAATGTCCTGAACAAGGCGGCCTACCATTCCGATTAACCTGTTAATTCCATCAAAAAATATTAATAATGGATCATGGGGATCTATTATAAAGGTTATTGAAAACAGAACTTACCATGGATACCAATATTTTTCCATTCGACCTTTGTTTTCCATATCCTAATTAGAGAAACGATATTTGTATAATATTCGGTCTTTTATAATGTTAAGCGTTGCATATCATTTATACACTTACCCACGGGTGAACGAATACCGCAGCATTGAGATTTTCGCAAGCCTAGCGATCAAAGGAAGATTTTAATGCCCATTGGACACACGAGGTAAATTTTAACTGACATCGCATACCTCCCAAAATGGGTTCAATTCGGGCGCGTCCAAATTCCATTCATTGATATGACTTCCTATTTGTACACCACAAAGTCCAAGTTCATTAACACATCTTTTCAGCTCTTGTACCGCCAAATCCGGTGATTGCATTGGGACCGTGCCAAGTCCAACAAATCGTCTGGGATTTTCCGAGCATACTTGTGCAATATGATCGTTAAGGTAGCGCGCCAATTCGAGAGTATGTTGAGGTTTTCCAAAGTAGGCGAACATTACGGGTACAGTTGAAAGAACCTGAATTTTAACAATAATGATTTAAATGATTTTCTAATAAGGTTATCGTGAAAGCGATAGAATTACCTGCACGTCCACCCCGGTTACATTACATTCGTGCACTCTTTCATTAACAGACCAACAATTACACTTGACTTCGCGGAAATTTTTTCCGTCCAAAAGCATGTTGGCCTTACCCTAAAATGTCCAGTCAATAGATCAAGTAGGTTACTCTTTTGAATTCACCCTTTGAGATGAACTTTAAAAGAAAAGCTACTTCTTCGTTATGATTCAATTTTATCCATCCGCCATAACCACATTTCTTTTCCATGTCCGGCAGATGTTTTGGAAGTATATGACTAATTTTGAAATCATACCGTTTACACATTTAAGAAAGATTTTCTGAATTGTAAATAAAAGTATAATAATAATAATAGTACTGACGTGTGCATATCGATTTTGAAAAATTTTCTGCCAGAGGTTTTTGTAAGTGTTGTGCCATCACTACAGGGAACGTTTTGCGCTGCAGTAATAACATCGGCTTTCGCAGTGGTGGTTACTATGGTCATCGCGTTGTCTTCGAGTTGGATCAATATGTAAAAAAAAGATACCTATGGGCGGATGAGAATTTACAGTGATAAAATCATTTTACTTTGGAATGATGCAGTGACGGTATGATCCATCGGTACAATGTTTACTGCATAAGGAATATTAAATGGCTTGCGAGAATTCCACTGTGTACACTTAATATTTAATTCCAAATTAGTTGATCCAATTATATTATATCCAAAGAAAGTAAGCGTAAATAAGAGGATCAGGTGATCGCGTGAAAAATGACCGTGGAGCGTGAGAGTTCTCAGTTACGAAGTCGTTTAATCAACCAACTTTTGCGCGTCGATTATAACTGATAAGGAGATTTGATTGTTGACATGCAGGGGAATTTTTTATGCGCGTATGACATGCCTATGACTGGTCTCGAGACCAGAAATATGCACAAACCAGTTCAGTCAAAATAAACAAATACTTACAAGTTAGCTTGAAAGTTTGGAATGAACAGATTTGATCCTTCGAGCAACAGTTTTCCCACTATGTATGAGTGATGAATAAAAGAAATTATATGTAAATTATTTCACTTGTTTATCATTTTTTATCAATGAGTTTGATTGTTATTGAGGCGTATGATAATTGCACTTGTGATCACGCAGATCAACTGTTGATGTTGCGCGTCGCAACTTTATTAAGATACAGAATGATTTAAACAATCACAAATTAAACTCTGATATAGTAAAATTGAATTTTATTTTAGCCCAAGATATATTTATTTCATTGTATCGAAATTCAACTTTGCGTGCATGCACATCAATATACCACAGGAATGCAGTATATTGATAATAATAGAAACAATGGTCTTCGTTTTACAATGCAAAATCACATTATATGTTAAATGTTAAATAAGTCGATAAAATTTTCAAACAAATGCTTTAAACTTTATTTATGTTTAATAAATGGATGATTCAAACAATTTAATTAATATAATATAAAATTCTAAGATGAATAATACTATAAATAATAAATACATCGTTGAGATATTTAGTAAATTAACTTAGTGATTACCAATTTGATATTATTTTCTTTAAAAAAAAAATCTTTAATATAATATAATGTTTAAAATAAACCTTGTATGTTATTATTCTTATTCTTATCGAAAAAACAAATAATTTATTATAAAAATATATTTTTATTGTTAAAACATAATTATATCTCGTCGAAATTAATAAGTTTTACTATCATAATTAATTCATATTTTTGTATTCGTATTATCTTTATTATTATGCTTTTTTGTTATTTTTTTTTTTACTTTTTGTTCTTTTTTTTTTTTTTTTTGAAATTTTTTATATCATGATACAAGATGTTAATTAATTAAATCAATTTATTTTAACAATTAATTTTTTAAGAATATACATTAATTTGATTTTAATTTTAATTTAATAAATCTATTGTATATACAGTATATTCTATATATTCTAATACACAATAAATTATTGAAAATTATTAATAATAATAAAATGATTAAATCCAAAAAGCAAGAAAGTTATTTACTTGTTTATTTTATAAAAAATCGAAAACCTTGTAAAAGTTAATATATAATATTTTTTTTTCTATAAAAAAAAAGGTTTTAATTAAAAAAATCCACGCTCATAAATTAGCTATAAAATGAGTAATATTTCTTTTACAGATTCAAATGATTTAAAAATATTGTATTTATATACAACTGTATATAATATTATTGATTTATAAAAAATTTTTTTAATCAATCCAAAAATTTTAAATATGCATAAATAATATTACGTTATATTTGAAATTTGAAATTTTAAAATTATTTATAATACAGTGCATGTAATACAGTATTTTAATTTTCTTTTATCAAAACATTACTGTATTATGAAATGAAAAGATTAGATACAACTTATATTATTGATAATAATAATATATAGATACTGTATATACTGTATACTGTATTTTCGATTTTATTTCTGTTTGGTTCGTTAAAACAACCGATGATATATTCAAAATTCGAATATTATATTTGTTCAATCTTGAACTTTCTTAGCAATAAATCATGATTTTTTATTGTAATCTGGTAAGTGTTTCGTTATGTAAAGTTACAAGGTCAGATTTTCTCGATTGGTTCTTTGTTTTACAATTCACCTGTATAGGTTTTACTAAAAAATCTCGTTAGGCTACAACCTCTTTATATCCATGTTTCTCGTGTCGTTCTGCAAGCAAAGTTATGTGCGATATAAAGCATAAGTTCAAAAGAGAAAAAAATTTATTTATTTATTGGTTTATTTGATCATACATATAAATTGCATGCAATTGATAATTCCGTTTTATAAACCAACTTGCCGTTTGGATGTTCCAGTGGAAAATCAAGAATACAATTTTTCTTATTCAATTATTTTACAGTATCTTGACGTGAAGACAAGAATGACCTTTCATGGTGATATTGAAATGATGATGGCGCTTTAGAAATTGATTGGTTATACTAAGTTGAACCTGACATGCCTCTCTCAACTTAAAGGCCCCTCTCATGAATGAAACTTTGGTTGTATCTTCAACATTTTGACCGATCTTGTGAATCAAAGGTTTCGTGCGCGTTGGATGCGATTTAACAAAGCGATTTGCATTTAGTATAGGCTGTAAAGATGTTAACCAAGTTCGTATAAATAAAAGTTTATGTGCACCATTTGACAGATAATGTATTACTTCATTACTATACATTTTCATCTGCCCGTCGTCTACAACGCGCAAACATGTTTAAAAAACTTCCAAAACACCCCGCAATGAATCCGTCGCAATCAAAAATTCCAAAATCACATTTCAGACGATAACATGCTCGCAAATTTTTGGCAACGTATCCGCAACACCCGTCACAACATCCATATAGACACTTGAAGTACCTTTTATTTTCTGATTCAACTCTTCTCATTTCTCTTTCCTCTGCTCTGATAGCCTCTTCGCTTTCAATATTCGTAACATTTACAGACACGTTATCAGTGTTTCTTTCGGAAATCACGTTCGCCGTCCCTAATGACGGTTTAGGTTGATATTCGAAGCACCGTGCCAATGCAAGTAATATCACTGGGACCGCCAATGAAATTTCAATTTTACGACTTCTCTCCTCGGTATTAAAAATTGGGTTTGACTCTTTAAGAATAAACCATAGATGAATGACGAATAATGAAAGCATTATGAACACAAGACTTTCGGATGTATTGGCTAGTGTGGCGATTTGTGTCGTGGTGAGAATGTATTTTCCAAATAAGAAGTATCCTTCTTTCTTGACTACATTTTTGATGTTGAGATTGATTAGAGCATACGCGGTAGGTAGAAAAGTACGTAATGAATGAAATGGCTTACACAATATAACGCTGATTCCCTCAAGAAACCCTAGATCACTTTTCACAAAATCTTGAACATGATAAACCGTAAGCACTCGAAATAATAATTCTAATATGATGTACGATAAAATGATATATTTCACGATTTTTTCATAGTTGGATTGGATTGAACTCTGGAGAAGGGGAATGTTTTTTGATCGTTTAATTTGTGATCTGAGGAATGATTAATCAAAAATTTCGTACTTACAATCTGGTAATAATAAATTAACATCCCACAGCCAACTAATATATAAAGGTTTGAACAAGCAATTATAAACCAAAATACGAGTGAAAATATTGAATTCTCCTTAAAACGATTTCTTGTTCGTCGTCTGGCCGTGATAGTCGTGTCAGGCGGTGGTGGTGGGGGTGGTGACGGTGGTGTAGTCGTGATTTGTGGCGGCGGCCGATATCTATACGGAGGTGGGCGACCACCACTGCCAACACTTGAAGGTAGTAATGCGGGGAATTGATCTCGATGCGCGGGATAAGTTGGTTCGTGAGCCGCTACTATATCTTTTTCGGGAGTATCTTTGTCTGGTGAAGCCATTCTGTACTTCTAAAACAAATTTCCTTCAAGATTTGTCGTGAATCCTGACGAAAAAAATTTATTCAACTCTCAGAACACGAAACTATAAATGCAATTTCCGTATGTACAAAATTAGGACATGTTTCGTTTTGTATGTAAAGTCAAAGTGATTTTGTAGGAACATCCCGCGTGTGGCTTTTACACTTATGCGTGCTTTGTGTGCTGGCTAAGTAAGATTAACAACACATGCACCGCCTCAACTTGACTTAGTTTTTTGACGTTTACTCGTTTACTTAAAGATAACTTCAATTATAATGAAACGTAATCAAGGCTTTGGATCATCAATTTTTAATCATAAATTTTATACGATTAATTATCGTTATGTTTTTCCATTATCACGATTGTTCAATTATTAACATGGTTTACTAATCTAAAAAAAATTTATTTCTTATGGTGGTTATCTACAGTATATAATAAAAAAAATACATAATAAACATTTTGGATAATGACAACATCATGATTTTCACTGATATTAACTATACGTAATTACATTTTTTGTAAACAAAAAATCAAAATAAATTGTTCTTCTTTCTGACGAAAACAAAATTCCACAGAACACACCTACGCTTATTATCAATATCCGAAGATAATTTTTGGCATGTCTAAGAATAGTTCTCTACATTATTATGATGATGGAGATATTATAATTGTCATTAAGGACGTTTCGATTTGCGCACACAAAAGATATCTATCCATGGCCTCAAAAATCTTTTCCGACATGTGTTCATGTGCTACAGCAATTAACGGACAATTACCCATCATATACCTCGACGAAGAATCTGCGATCACGTTCGAGGAGTTATTATCATTTCTATATCCCAGTCAATATGTGCGCATCACTTGGAATAACATTGAACCATTCCTTCAATTGGCAGATAAATATGAGATCAATATCGTCACTCATGCCTCCGAAGATTTCCTGGAACATCATTATGAGGACTTCCCTTTGAAATCTTTGATCATAGCCGATTTTTTTAAATTTAACAAGGTTTACAAGGAATCTTCAAAATTGGTTTTAAACAGGCTACTAGATTATAGGAAGCACGAGGACTTCAAGCGATTATCTTTTCGAACCGTCGCGGCTCTACAGTCAAGATATTTGGATTATATTACTGCAATTGGAAATCTGGGAAATTTTAAGCCACTCGAGGGTTTCACTCATGACCTTTTATGCAATCGTCATTCTCATGAGGAGGATTTTACGCATGCACTCGACGGACTGATTAAAAAAACTAAAGTGTGCCCTGCACCAGCGCCTTCGACAACTTTTAAATCATTTTTGTCTCCAGGTTTTTCGATGGGACCGCGGACGTGCAGTAAAAGCTTTATTGAGATATACAAAATGAAGTTCAAAGCATTTTTTGGACCAATGGAACCGTTAGAAAACGAAAAACGAAAAGCTGATGCTAGCTACTACATATTTATTGAGCCTATGAGTCGAACATGACTCTTGGGAATGCCATTAATTTATACACATCTATATTATCATTGTTGTTATCTTACATTCTAGTATTCAGAACTATTTTGCAATCCATCTTATTAATAAGAAATTTTATAAAAAGATATACAGTATGTGCATAATATTCATTGTAGGATCACCTGAATCAAGATTTTATCTCAAATGCTACCTTATTCTTTGATGGTTCTTGGATCAAATAAGTAGTCTTTGGATTATGCGAGTTTTATCTGGTTTTTTTTTTCATTCGACGCCAAGTTATCATTAATTACGAGAACTTATGTGTTGGTTGGAATTATAACTTTCAGATTGTTGAATGCAAGAATGTACACTATGATTAATAGAACTGTTAATTGAACTTTAGATATCAGTAACCTAGCATTAATCAAATTATTTTTATGCAAAATTGCTTTTAAAAAAAATAAAAAGAAAAACATGAAAGACGAATGAATATCATTGTAATCCATATCCTTGTTTTCTAATAATGATAATGGAACAAAGTATTTGAAAAATCATGTTTGAAATTTATCTATGATGTGAGAATAAAAAGCTGGATAAGTGTTTCGCTAGGCATTGTACGTTCTCGGGATTTTGAAGATTCGTAGATTTATTCTAATAAATAATGTATTTCGAAAAAATGCAAATAAAAACTAGACTAGAAATATTTCACAGACAATTAAATATATGTATAAATAATTTTTTTAAAAAAAAAAACAAAAAGCCATATGACGTTTTTTACTAAAGTTTTTGTCAGTCCGCGCGTCCTCTCCCTTCAACTAATCACAAAACCTATTTTTACTTTTCATATAAAAAGGATTCAACGTTGCTTCTATAGCGGATTGAATAATTGATAATCCGCTATACATTGTTCGGTGGCAATGTATCATCATGTAGTGTTATGTCGTTAATATAAGATGAAAGAAAATTTGCCGTAACATGATGTTCTTGTACGTATTTGGTTTGTTTTACATGGTGAACATATAGTGTCGGCCTATTTCAAAGTCAAAGAAATAGTGAGTAAGCGTAATTGATCGTGTAGAATAAATAATTTGATAAAGAATACGAACAAATGACCGCTTATCCAGTTTGACATGACTTTTGCACGTTGCTTTTCACCCAACCTCGACTTCGGCAGTGAGCCCTGAACAATGAATACTATTACATCAATAATAAATTGATGTTCATCCAAAATTGTATTTAGGATGCATGGCACCAAATTCAGTATTCCTTCCGTTGAGCGCACCTCCACCACGCAAACTGTTTCATTGTTGGCTTGGAATACAACGCTGTTATAATTAACATCGCAATGAATTTTATGTTAAACACACCTTAAGCTTATATTACATCTAGAGAAGCAATACTTACCATCCGTCGGGAGCAATCAAACTCGGAGGACTCATATTGTGACACCTCTCCACCGTGAATTCGATATCAACCGGAAAATGCATCAATCCATTCACCTCAAAAGTTTCGGCAATAGGTCCTAAGACGAACAAACATTGAAATTCCACCATGGTATTATTCTCTCCGGCTGGTCTGTGAACAGTGTGTAAAAACCCTAAATCTCCTGTACGCAAATGTGTCGTACGTGGGTCAATTCCCAAACTGATGCCACCGTCAACTCGTGCCGAAAATCTTTCACGTTCTAACGGGTCATTCGATCCATATGAGGATTTTGCATTAGCATCGGATGATACCCAAATTTCTCCGAATTCATTTGTCAGACACGGTCGGCGGGTCTCCGGATGAACTATGACTATTTGCGTTGATACTGGAACCTATATTTAATTTTCATCTTGTATCAACTAATATTAAAGAATAAATTTCATATATATATATATATATATATATAACCTACCATTCCACAATCCTGTATCAATACTCCAAAAGGTTCCTCTTCGGGATCAACAATTTTTATGATTCCTCTTCGTAAACTTTTTAAATCTAAGTAAAGCTCTATTGGTTCAATACACATGTATGATCGAGTTGTTAACATTGGATTTGCTTGGTTGCCATAGACATAGTTGAGTGACATATCATCCAATCGGTTCGGCAAAAATGTTTTAATAACCTGCTTAACTGTGAAAGTAAAATTGAAGTCAGGAATAAACGGTTAAATAGATTCAATCCATCAGAAAAATCCAAGAGTAAGCTTACATAAGTTAACATTTGGTCTAGATTCTATTGGCAACATAAGGTTTTTCAAATGCTGCAGTGAAAAGGATTTAAAGGCATCGCCTTCGAAGCATGAAATCGCATGCTGTAACATTGGGAAGGTTGTATACGAATCTTTGACTGATACAATAATGAAGATACAAGTAGTGAGAAATATATGCGATTAACATGTGATGATCCAAAATTGTGAATCCGGAAATCTTACTTTTATATCTAGACAGAGTTTCAAACCAGATCAATGGATTCACGGAATAATCGTATGGTGTGATCAGGATCGTTGGCGAACCTAATATGACCATGAAATATATGATCACAGAAATAAGTGATAGGCATCGATAGCAATCAATATTTCCATTAAAATTTGAAATGCAACGTACCCAGATATGCACCAAGTAAGCATGTGTGAACAAATCCAATCCCAGAGCATCCTCGAACGCAACCTAACACTGCTTTATTACTGGTCAACTTACATGTTGCCTTCTGTACCTTACATAGGGCCAATAAAGTATCATGTCCCAATTTGACACAACTCCTCCTTTGTTCAGCATTAAAATAGCACATGACTATCGCGGTCCAATTTTGATTGATCCATTCTTCTCTCATTACATAATTCGCTTCGGAGAGCAACTTTGTGAATTTAGGTGCCTTTGACACATTAAGAAACTGTGGTAGTCTCGCAATACCTCCGTTTTGACTTTTAATATAATTTTGAATGGTCTTTCCTTTGAATGTGTTCTCGGTCTCAGTATTCAATATGATGTAATTGATCTTGAAATCCTCAATTAATCCCATCATCGATGGTATATCTTCACCAGCTCTGCTTTGCTCAATCCTGTCCATAGGTATCGCGATGATCCCTAGTACCATGCACGCATAAACGGAGCACACAAAGTCTAATCCTTGTGGAAACATCAACAGAACATGATCTCCGGATTTTAAACCCTTCTTAAGCATGTAGTTCGCAAAGGTGGCTATACGATTGTTTAATTTTTTCCATGATAATCCCAACTCCTTTCCACGTATGTCCAATACCTTGTAAGCATCTCCATCTGGCATGTTTTCAGTTCTCCACAGCAGAACGTCCACAATAGAACGGAATGTTAGCATGTTTTGTCCTGTTCGTTCGTCTTTAACTTCATTCGGACTCCCTACGCGTGAAAATTGTGGCCGCCGAGTTATTCCGTTATTAAGTTCATGTCTTGCTGCCATGGCAACTTTTTAAAAAACAGTAGTACATTGTTACTCCTAGAAACATGAGAGTGATTATAGAAAATATCATCAATGATAAAAATGACCTACCCGGTCCCCATATTCCAGCAACATCATCATCACCAACGGGGATGTTTGTAATAGTTTCCTCCACCCACGTTTGAACATGCATAACATTCAATTTGCCGACTTCGAAAGCCTTCTTGCACAAGATAGCATTTATCAATTTTTTACCATTCTTCCACGATCTAGGTAATGATCCCTGTTGGCATAGTGAAAGACAGTATAGTCTGAGACCATGATTTTCATATAGCAAACCATGTATGTTGTCGGAAAGATTCGGTAGACGGTCAAGTGGCAGATTCGTTTCTGCTATTAAAACTGGGAGGTTTTGGTCGTTTGTATAAACTTCGATCATAACACTAATGTGATGTTATTTAAATAATTTGAGAATACGGCGGTATGTAATAACGAAAATTGTTGAGGCCGCGTGTTGAATCTCCACAAAGAATACATACCAGTCAATAATACCATTGATCCTCCTCCGAACAGTATTTTCTAGATCCAGAGTATAATGATACCTCCATTTTTCTGGCTTCTCATCTTCTTCTTCATCCTTCTTATTTTCATAGTCATCATCGTCATCATCTTCTTCTTCTTCTCCTCTGTTGACAACTACCAATTTCACAGGTGCTTTTTGTTGTGGGCTTTCAATCGACTGCCGTATTCGATGCTCATACAATCCAAATATAACCAATTGTCCGCTGATCAGTGCGCCTAATAATCCTGTACGTAAAAATTCTTGTTCTAAATATTCGGGCTTCATCGTATCCGCAGGCACGAATATTGGCTTCGCATGGAAGATGAACTCGGTAAGCTTTGGTAATGACCAAAATCCACCGGATAATGATGGAGAGTCGACCCAAATTTCACCAACAGTGTTGGGAAGACATAACGCTGTCGTTTCCGGATCCACCACTGCTATCGTGGCTGTTATTCCCAAATTAAAATGAAAATAATGTTTACATGTATCATAGAAAGTGATAATCAAATAAATAAATTTTCAACAAACCTTCAGGCATGACGAATCCGAAAGCTCCAACTTTCATTACGCTTTTAATGCTTTTGTTTTCTTCTTCTGCAATGGCAATAACTTTGTTCTCCTTTAGGGTTTCTCTATCTAACAAAAACTCTTTAACTCCTCTCTCCCCTTCAATCCTCTCATCCAAACCCATTACCCCTAACAAATCTCCGAAGCTCAATATCATGCCTCCATGTTCAGGTAAACTGCTCAAAGGTGTCAGCACGTCTTTTGGATACATGCAGTTCAGCGGGGTAAGCAAGTTGTCAATTATATTTTGGTTCGATTCTGTGTCAACTGTTAACGAATCAATAAATAAGAACCTTAAGGATTGAAGGTTCGGAGTCGTTTTTTTGTAAAAATGTAATGTTGCGCCTGGATCACTTTTAAAGGATGCTACGATTGGATTTAATCCTGGGTAATCCGCCAATGCGATCGTTACTATTATAATAATTTAATAAAAATAATTGATCTCTGGTATACTATTTGATAGCATAAAAATACGCATATAAAAGGATATATTAGCTTACCCTGATATTTAAAGATAAAATTAACCCAAAGGCCTGGTACATCAGGTCCAAGACTACCCAAGAAAATTGTGGTATTCCCACAATAAACGCCCCACAAGGCACCTATTATTAAACCAACTTGTTGTCTTGGTTCCAAATACGTCAACACAATGTCTGCATAGTTCACACTTGCTCCTTCGTCACCTTTCTTTCCCAACGTAAAATTCTCAGACTTCATTTTTGAATACTTTATCATTTGTTCTCTGATCCTAGTATCAACTGCTGATGCTCTCATGGAAGTACATTGTGCAATTATGGTTTTGTGACTTATCGCGACACCTTTTAACTCACCATTCGGGCTTTTGGTATACTCTATGTAAGCCAATTCTGTGCAATTAATACTATCCAACTCATCACCCTTTTTTACATTCACTGATCCGAATTCATTGGTCTTCCACCACCCAATATTTGTTGGTAATTCCTTGTTCTGCAATGATAACTCTCGCACAAAGACTTTGTGATTGTGCTCAGTCGTTAGTGCTAACTTTGCTTCCGTGCTGTCCAGAATGAATAACAACTCTTTAAATTCTTCAACAGCATTAATGGGAACTGCCACTACACCCGCAATGAAACATCCATATAATGCTACTAGAAATTCGAGAATTTCGTTCTTACGATATATTAGTGCTACTCTGTCGCCCTTAACCAATCCACTCTCTCGTAATATAATCTGACCCAGTTTTTCTGCACGCAATTGCAGCTTCTCCCATGTCCAAACGCCAGTTTCGCGTCCTTTTTGATCTACAACTATAAATGCGTTTTTCTTTGGTGTAGTTTTACCACGATACCGTAAGATTGATGCTATATCTGTGAATGAATCAAGAGATCTTGTTGGATCTAACGGATCAAGGTTTTCAAATGGGATATCGCGCGGTTCAAATGGCATAAATTGTTTTCCTGCCAATTTTGATATATTTACATCAAGCGATGTAGATAAATTTTCCTGTGTATCAGAGAACACTCGACTATTGTATAATGACATGCGATTTCCTGCGTCTGTTATAAGTTGCGTTTAAAGGATTGGCAATAAAAAACTCATGAGACATTTTATCATAATTCAATTTGAATTATACGAGAATTTAAAAAAGAGAGAATATTACTTCTTCCAGGGTTATCGACAGGTTGAGTAAACCCTCCAAATCTCGGCATGTCGGGGTTTACAATCCCCATAATGTTTGATCTAATAGAAACATTATCATCTTGAAACCTTTCATAATCACGCATAGTATCGTTAACATCTAAGCTCTGTCTTCCATTCTCATTTAACACTGCAGGGTAAGCCTTACTAATCACTCCAGATGAATTTGGCATACCACTTAACTCCCCAACAGGCGGCCTAATTTGTGGCATTGTTGGTCTACTCTGGAACGATGGTTGTATAGGTCTGGCATATGACACAAATTGTTGTTGACCAGTAGGATAAAAATGTGGTCTTTGTTGGCCCGTTGGACCTCCGGACAAAGGTCGATAATGGGGTTGAATCGGTTGTTTATTGAAAACTTGTGGTCCATATGAAGACGATGTTAACGCGTGAGGCTGTTGACGAAGCTGATGAGAACGGTGTATTTGATCCACACTCTGTGTTCGAACATGTGCCGAATTTGGATTCCGGGTTCTATCTATATCTAGGCTAACCGTTTGTTGTGACCTCTGCAGCACCATATTAGGGTTATGAGAAGGTGGCCTTTGTGGAGTAGTTGTATATGCGAGATTTGTAGGGGGCAGAGGTGGTCGCTGAGGCATTCTACCGGACTGCACAAACTGACTACCTTGATCGATATACCCAGTGCTCTGAACGCTTTGATAAGAAGCACGCGGACTATTATTATTATAATATCCGCTCCCACTTTTAAAGGATGGATCACCCCCGCTACTGAAGGAAGGTGAAGCATATTGCCTTCTACATTCTTCTAGTATGGCATTCTTTTTCTTCTCATACCCTTTCTCGGTAATATCACCATCACGTAGTTCTCTCTCTAACCCTAATAATCTTGATTGAAACTCTGGAGGCAGTGAACGAATGTCGATATTCATATATGCGGTGGTTAAATTTAAGATAAATTTTGATCCAGTAAACGCAAAATATTGTATATTTTGTTAAACTAACTTGATTTAAATAGTAATATTTTGTTTTACTGTAATAAGTTTACTGATAATCTATGCACGTAAGAAATCAGGTATATTATGTATGGAGTGTACAAGTTGTATTCCAAGGTTGGTCTATTATATAAGTGCCTTTAGAAAACCTGCAGACGTTTCAATCTACTAATAAAAAGTTTAAATTAATCGTTAGCACTTTTTCCTAATATCAATCCATCTATATAACTAATACTCTTTTCCGGGAAAACTTCTCGAAATACTACCAACCTTGAGTGAAACATGGAACAAATAAATAATTTCGAATAAAAAAATAAGGTCAACCAGTGATATATTTTAGAATCCGTAAAGAAAATAGTGCGAGTGTTATATTGTGTACGTAATTTAATATTAATTGATCTGCGACCTGTGCTTTTTTATGCTGTATGCCATGACATCACATTAAAAACTGTCATACCACCACAAATGCATTTTTCTTTATTTACTTTCCTTAAAAAAAAGCTTTAATATAAATAGAGAATACAAAATTTAAAAATATATTTTTATTTTTATTTTTTTTTTGAGTAGATAAACATCATTTCTTTATTTATTTGTATATTATTATAATGGACATCTCAAGTGCAATTGCAATAAGAAAATATATTTTATTAATTCGATTTATTATATCGTTACTATTTTATTTAACCAAAATACTAATACTAATAATTTAAAAATACGTAATTTATGTAATCAAATGTTATTAAATATTAATTTTATTTATTATATAAAATGTAATATGGTTTATAATTTTTTAATTTTTTTGATTAAACTATTTAAAAATTTTAAAAAAATTTTTAAAAATATATAGGTTAAGATTAATTAAAACTATTTATAAAATTTATTTATTTATTTATTTATTATTGCAAATAAGCATAAAATGTAAGACTTTATTTACTAAATAATAATATTGTCATTATATTAAACATCTATTTAAATTAATATTAATCTATTGTATGTATAATTTTTAATGCTATATTATACTAAGTAAGTAATATTACTTTAAAAATAATCCATGAATAGTTTATATCTATTCATAAACAGCTAAGTTAGAATAGATAGGAATATTTTTTTTAATAATATAGAAAATTTTCAGAAAATTGATCTTGATTTAATAAATTTTTGATATATTTTTATGTAATGTTATTATTATTGTTATTTCTAATAGATTAATATTAGTTTGATTTTTGTTAGATTGAAGTGTCAAAATTGAATTAGTTATTGAGATTGTATAGATTATTTGAAGAGATTAAACTGGTTTTAGTTTTTAATTTTAAGAAAATTTTTAATATTATTAAGATAATACAATAAAGTATATTATATTAAAGTTATTTGGAAAGATTTGATTAAGACTAAAGATAGATTCCTAAATTAAAAAGTAAGAATATAATTCAAATGTTCTTTACTATTAAAAAAGTTTTTTTTTAAATATAAGGTTAAAAAAAAACTACTTATAAGGATTTTTTACAATTTAGACTACTTAATTCAAATGTTTTTTTAACTATATTTCTATTAAAGTAATGAATAAATAATTATGTCTCTTTTGTAGAAACATAATTGATCTGCAAAATTTTATATACTAAATAATTTAGAAACCCATTCTTAGTTAAGACAAGTAAGAGAATTTAAAACTTTATTTGAATATACTTTTAAAAAAAATTTAATAATATTGAAATATTAAAGAGAATTATTATTATAATAATAATAAAAGAGAAAATATATAAAGATAAAGTTAAGAAGGAAAACTATTATAAGTCTTTTTCTATATAATCAAAGAACAAACAAGACTTTCAAACTTGTTTGGTCTTTAATTAGTAGTTCTATTTCAATATAACAATAATCTTTAAAGTTTTTATATTGTTGAGCTTATAATATAGATGATATATTGAAAAGAGAAAGAAAAGTATTTTTTTCAAGAAAATTATTATAAAAGAAATGTTTTAAAAATTCAATAATAAATATATATATATATAATTTTTTTTAATTATAAAAGAGTATTAGATACAAGTTTTTATTAATATATATATATTATACTCAAGTTATATCAAATATCTTTACAAATAAAGTTTTATAAATTAATGTTAACCTATTTATAATACTAACTAATATAATCCTCTTTATACTTAATATAGTTTGGATTAACCTTAGTACTAGATAGTTAATGCCTTTTCAGAACTAAGATAAAATCTTATGATTTTAAAATATTGTTTTAGCTAGTGTATTATGTATCAATAATAGAGATAATATTGTTAAGCAAATTGTTTTGAGCTTTAGAAAATAATTTTGATTTAGCTATTAAAAATCTTTGTGTAGTTTTGTTCTATTTGATTTCTGTTATTGTTAATATATTAGCTATAGCTGATCTTAAAATCTATATAAAGGTATATAAAAGTTTCAAGATAACATTTGTCAATTTGACCTGAGGTTTTTTTAAGAGTTGGATCTTAAACATTGATAGTTTATATATTAATTCATTCGGATTGGATCTTTTGTTAAAAGCTAAGGTTTATAGTTAAAAGTCTGAAGTTATTGTCATTTTAGTTTTACTTTTGACTATATATTTTTTGATTTTTGCAATGATTTTATTTTTGATTTTGGTATATGCTGTCATGTTTTTGTAACATTCAAAGACATGACTTTGTAATTCTGGTGTTGTTAAGTATTTTAAGTAGAAACTGTCTTTATATAGTCTGGATATCTTTCATGCAATAATTGTCTTATGGAAAAAATATCATAGAGTAACTTGCATTTAAAAACTAAAAGAGAAAAGCAACTGAATTTGTTTTTTTAATAAAAAGTTTGTTAATATTGATTAAGATTTGTAAGAAACTATTATCTAATATCTGGTTTTATCTTTCTTTAATAAATGAGCTATTGATGAAATCTACTAGTCTATATATTTGTTGAGCTCTTTTGATTCAATATATCATATTTATATCCTATACGTTCTTTATTTTTGGACTTGTTATATACTTATTATCTATTATACATTGGAAAATTTTTTTGGTAAAGATCTCCAGAGATCTCCACCCAAAAAAAATGTTCGAAAATTTCCAGAAAAATCTTCGAAAATCTTCAAAGGTTTTTAAGAATTTTTAATATAAAATTTTTTAAAATAAAAAAACTCCAGAAATTTTTATTTCAAAAAAATTTAAAATTCTTTGA